AACAACAAACGGCTTTGTTCTCTTTAATGTCCCACAATAGTCCATCTGGTACTGATAGACCTTTCCTGTTGGACAGGACTTAACATCTTCTGTTGAAGATCAGCACTTCACCCTAGTTAATGTCTCTCTCCTATTTGGTGAGTTACACCGTCACAGAGGCTCACAATACAACCACTCAAACATTACCATACAATATGGGAACAGATGTTGTAAGTGAGATTAATACATGCAGCAAATCAAATCACAAACATTCAATGAAGTCTAAACACTTTCTTAGAACCTATTTTAACAATACTAACACACAGGCAAGCTAGACTGGTACTAGCTATGTATTTGCCAGTGTTCGCTTGAGATGTGGGGACTTTGGCTTGAGCTGGCAGCTGGTCTGCTAGCATTACACAAAAGTATCTTTGGACCTCAGACACACAAACCTTAAAAGAACAGAGAGATCGTAAATACCTGGCTCTGCATCTGGCTGACCTACTGAAAAGCTAAAGGATAAAAATACCCTTTTGTACCAGGGAGTAGCAGAACTGCACAGGCAGGTAACGCTGTTGTAATAACAAATCTACCTAAATTGTAAGCTCAACTATAAAAACTAATTAAAAGTTTATCAAATGTCCCAATAAATGAGACAACTGCAAAGGGAAAACAAAACAAAACAAAATTAGTCTAAACAAAAAGGCCTACTACCATAATTAAAGAACTGTTAAGATCATGCCTGGTAAACAAAAAAATGAAACTAGAAATCAGTGGACCAAAATCAGGGTGGACCGATTTTAAACCAGTGACTTAAATGACTGGTTTTAATCATGATTTTAAATCAGCATGCAGGAAATCTTTGATCATTGATTTTAATCATGTTTTGCATTTGTACTTTATTTTCCTAAAGAGAGATTTATTCTCATTGGCTGTTAACCATTAAAACATGCTGATTTGCAACTAAATATAGTCTTTACACTAAATTTGGTGCTTCTTTTCACTAATCGGGAGGATACACAATATCTATGTACATTTAAGCAATTATGAAGCTTAACTTAACCTTTATTCAGATTGTTAGTGTTTACATAATTCATTAGAAAATGGTAAATGCTGCATTTCTTATTTACTAGAAGATTTTTTTTTTAAACCTGTGGTTTGTGAAACTATTTGGATGGAATATTCAATTAAAAATGCACAATAGTACTTTAATTTTTTTATTAAATAAAGCTAGCTTTAATATGCTGAATACATAAAAAGTTAATCAAAACATAGTTTGTATTTAAAACTAGCTGATTTATGAAACAGAGGAAGCATTATCTGTAGTTAGTGAATTGAACTGATTGTTTCCGGTCACCATGTCTTTTGATATTTTAGAACTAGTAGATCTCATCCTCTCACACCTAGTTTTTATTCATAGATTGGAGAGAAAAACAAGTGTTTTCTGCCTTTTCAACTTCCCTTTGGTTTCTTAAATTTGAATAATCTAGTAATTGAACTGAACTAGTTGAATAAACTGTAATGAAGAAAATATTTGTTCTGCACCTGCAGAAAAGACTACTGTCGTCAAAAGCTGGTTCCAGGTACTTAGTAAGTGACTTCCACCAGTTCAATGGTTTGACCTTCATTGAAACTAGGCAAAAATACATAGTAATTTATATTATTTTTGTATTTAATTTAAATTATTTTAATAGATATTAAGTATAGGCCTTAACATAGATTGTCAGTTTCAAATTTAATTTTAACTAGGTTTATTTTTTTAAAATAAAACCTGTATTTAATTTAAATGAAAAAATCCAGTTTTTTATTTTATTTTAAAGTATTGATTTTTATCCACCCTGACCAAAACTGATGTGTCAAAAATTTGGCCTAATTAGTAAACAAAATAATGAGGGGATGGGCGCCCATTACTTCCTTTTGGGGTCTTAAAAGAAAAAAAACACACTAGCGGGTGGGGAAATTAAGCACAAGAAGCAGCTGTCTGCCAGCAACTGCTGCAGCAAGCTTTACCATCATGGCTGTCACCCCCATTATCTCCTTGTATGCCCCGTAATACCATTGCGCCTTTGCCATTTACTGAGAGATGTCCTGACCAGACCGGGCCAAGAGAGGGACTAAGATGACATCATCACCTCCACTAGCTCTGGCTGAATTCCAAACACCCATTTGGGACGTGACAGTTTGATGGACAGATTCACACACTGTCTCTTTCTCTTGCTCAGTCCTTTTCCTTCCCTACTTCATTTCTTCTCTTTCCTATTCCTCTCCTTTCTCCTTCTGTCTAATAAGCGTCTGGCTTAGCCAGCCAAGAACGCATATTGTTATGAGCTGGGTTATGCTAAAAGGTGAAAAGGCTACTTCATGGTGTGTTTGTCATGGGACTAAGCAGGCTGAGATCTCTGTATCATCATCTTCATTCCCATAACCCCATTGGTCTTTGGGGCACCATCACTGATGAGCAATCAACCAATTGTTTCCACCCCTGATGATTGTGTGTCAGTGCTTGAGTCTCTGCGAAGTCCATTCCTGTCCACTCTTTTATGTTGTTTAAACAAGGTTTGGGGTTTGGTATACAGAGATCTTTGACATTAAAAGGTCTCTGTATACCGAACCCTAAACCTTGTTTAAACAGCTTAATGTTGGACAGTTTCAGGGTCATGTTAACACCTTTAACTCTTTGGGCCCATTTATTTCATCAAAATTAATACAACAGTCTTCATGGGGGAGAGCGAGTGCTCTCTGATTCCCTCTCTCTGCACATCCCTCCCCCACCCCCACCCCCGGTCACTTTCTTCTGAAGAGCAAGGAAAGGTACATTTTCAGCCCAAAGCTCTGTGTGTTTCTCCTTAGATTACACCTCTACCTCGATATAACGCTTTCCTTGGGAGCCAAAAAATCTTACCGCGTTACAGGTGAAACAGCGTTATATCGAACTTGCTTTGATCCACCAGAGTGCGCAGCCCCATACCCCCGGAGCACTGCTTTACCGCCTTGTATCCGAATTTGTGTTATATCGGGTCGCGTTATATCGGGGTAGAGGTGTATATGAATGAAGCTGTTTGCCTAAGAAGACACAGACATCTTCATAGATACAAAAAAATTGTCCTGGGCAGATTAACATTCAGTCAGTCAGCCAGGGAGGGAACTGCTCCAAGTTAGACCATTAGAAGGTGAATAGCCTGTCTCCTAGGCCTCAGCCCTGATGGTGATAATTGGCAATTGGACTAGATGGACTATGCAACTGCTCCCTTCTGGGAAGAGAGCAATCGTAGGTGGCCACATAATGGCTGAAATGGCATTACACAGCCACTGCTACTTAACAAAGAGCCTGAATATGACCCTCAGAGCTCTACACTGATGCTCAAAGGGGGACTAGCACTAAAACAATATTAGACTCCTGCCAATAATCAAATAATAATGCAGCTAAAATGCAACCATGTGAGGCAACAATGGCCTAACACTGTTCCTGGGATATGTTGACTCATCCAGTACTGTGGAGATTTAATTTTAAGAAATGGCAATTTACAGGAGCTTCTGACTCAAGCAGGGCTAAGTGTGTGGCTGCCTCACTTTGAAAGATACATCTGGCACTCACATTATCTGTAAAATCACATTTTAATATATTTTTGTCTTGCATACATCAGATGTTTTAATTCAGCCTTTTGTGTTTTTTTAATTTTATTTGGATATTTATTTCTTTATTTTGGCTGAACAAACAGCTGCTTTGCTAGAAAGCCTAATTCAGCCAGGGAGGAAAATTAACTTGATTCTTTAATACTTAACTTCTTCCAACTTTTTGGTATTAAATTTCTATTGCCAACTTCTCTCCTCAAGAATAGAATCTTCTCTGCTTTTGAAAATGATCCTGTCTTTGCTCGTTACCCCGGAGAAGATGTGACCCTCGAGAAGTATCGTGAGCTGACATTCCTGCGCTGTAAAAGGCTCTTTGAATATGAGTTTCTAAAACTGGAAGATATCATGGAGAAGCCATTAAAAATTATGGTTCTTATAAACTGCTTAGGGATGTATGATTGGTCTCTGGGTACCAAATATTTGTTAAATGCTCAGGTAAGTACAACTCAGAGAAAAGTCTTGTAACCCTATTGCACTGCATTTTCATAGATTTTTTTTTTTCTCTTTGAGGAAGATTTTCTAAAAGCAGTATCTCGACACAACTACTTTTCTCTTTTTAAATAAGAAAAGTGAGTTAAACTGTTTAAAAGTGCCGGATTGGATAGGCTTGGTGTGAATTTCTGATTCCATTGAAATCGATGGGACCCACCTTTGCCATTGACTTCAGTGGTGCCAGGACTTCACTCTTGGATAATAGAACAGGTGCCTCAGAGGTGTTAGTACTGCAAACTTCCCCACATGAGCCTCACCTTCATCTTGGAGGGGCCACCCCTTTTTTGTGTCAGAGAAGAAACTGGCCTTGTTCATTCAGGGCATGCTCCCAAAATCATTGCAGCTAGTGGAAAGATTCCCATTGATTTCAATGGGCCTTGGATCTGTCCCTCAATCCTTTGTCCTTCAGTTGAATCTTCCAATAAGGATAGTCAATAGAGATGGTTGAATCATATTGGCTGAGTGCATTATTTAGTGACTATTTCTATTTCCATTAAGTGATTTATTTTATTAATGATTTCTTCTGCTATATGGCCAGCTCCACTACTTAGTACCAGCTGTGGTTGTGATTTTGTGACGTAGATAGCTGTCCAGCAGGAACTGAACTGAGACCACCAACTGTTTTGTAATTAGAACAGCATGAGATGGTAAAAGCTTTCAATTACTGCTGATTTGGGATGGATTTGCTGGCCAACTTCAGATTCAGACCCCAAGTCATTTAAAACGGAACTATGTTGCAATGAGCTAGTATGTTTTTCAAAGGTTTTGCATCCCTAAACTGGGCTTTTGCACCTGTAACTACAGGCACAAGTGGAAAGTGAACCCACTGAGTGTTCCGTTACAGCTGCCAAAAGCGGGGCTTGTCATGAGGAGCAACGTCTCCATGGCTCATTCCATCCTTGACCTCTCTTCTGTATAATGCAAAGTGTGTTCTGACTTTGTATAACATTCAGTCCAGTGCAGAGGAGCTAGCACAGAGCCAGATCACCACTTTAAGCCCTCAAAATAGCGTTTAAGTGAGATGTAAGTGTTGGACAGTTCTGTTGGCCCCCTAGTAAGAATGAATGTTGTGCTTAGTGATTGTTGTGTTTATTCAAGTACATTTATTCGGCATTTTGACAGGGATTTCACAGTCCTCTCTCATTTCATGTTTTCAGGTGTTCGGTGGTGCAATTGAGAATACTGGCTCTGAAAGGCATCAGGAATTCGTGAAGCAAACCAGTAACATGGAGGTAATTTTGGGGTAACTCTTCAGGGTTGGGTATTGTCATGGTTAAGGGGCTAGCTGCACCTCTGGGCCCTTTCCGATCTCTGAGTGCAGGTGTTCAGCCCTTCACCATTACCTGACTCAGGGTGGAATTTTGCAGTTCTTCCACGGTTGGGTCTGTCTAGTCTGCAATAACAGGGTATGATTGCAGCTCGAGTAGACACCTAGCTTGAGTGCCAGAGCAGTGAAACTACAGTAGTGTGACGCAATCCCGCCCAGAACTCTGGGTAATTTACTCATGGTGCTAGCCTTGAGCTAGTGAGGTTAAAAGTAGGTCAGATATATTGGCTTGAGCTGCAATCAGACGCCGTGATTGGAGTCTAAACATACCATTAAACTGGGGCCCGGATACACCACTCTGTGTATACAAACCACCTATTACACTGCAGGTCTGACTAGTTCTCAGGCACCTGCATTTCTACCCTGCCAGAACCTGTGACTCGTGATATTGACCAACAGCCTTCTTAAAACAAAGTATTTTTATTTAGCCATTAGAACAGGGGTCTCAAACTCAGTTTGCCTTAGGGCCAGTGCCAGTCCTCAAATCCTCCCAGCGGGCCAATAATGTCAGTGAAGATGGTGTTCAGAAAAGAAAATGTTTATATTGTGTTTTTTATTTTGAATTTCTTAGAAATAATAAAGCTGTCATACAACTTTATACAATTCTTCGCCTGCCAGAGAGTTTTTAGTGTTTGCCAGACACCTGGCAACGCTTCAGTTCTGTCAGTTTGTTGATGTTTGGCCTCCGTGACTGAGCAGTTGAAACCTTCAGGATTTCAGCAAGGTGTGCATCAGATAGTTGTGTTCAGTATTTTGACTTGTTTATATTCATTGTGGAAAAAAGTGATGCTGCCTCTCTGGCTGACTCTGCCTGGCAACTAATGATGATATCTCTGTCCCTCTCCCCCAGCCAATGGGAGCTACGCGGGGCGGTGCATACAGCGGACAGTGCCGGCAACTATCTGCCTGCGTCTCTCCTCCACGGGCCGCAGCGGGGAGGTTCTCGGGCCGCAGATGGCCCGCAGGCCAGGAGTTTGAGACCCCTGCATTAGAACAAAGCATTAGAGAAAAAGGTTATTTTAAGACAGCCAACATGTATATTTACTCTCATCTATTCTTACACTTCACTATAAGTTAAACTTTTCTCTTAAGTTTCAGGAATTGAAGTGAACCAACTCACATTCTGTGTCCTAGACAGCCCAGATCCTCCTTAGTGTCTGGTTCTGTTAATCTGTCTGACCCATCCTGTTCATGCTGTGGTGTACTTGCTTGGGTGCTCCTCAAGGAGGGGCTGGAGCCATTAACGCTACTTGCTCTGGCATTGTCCCTTAAAGAGACTTAAGTGTAAGCTGTTAGAGAGAGGATGCCTTCTCTAATATTCACCTTTCTCTACATGGGCAGGCTCTGCCCCCAGTCAGAGCCCTAAGGTGAATTATCCATTCCATTCCATAGTCCAGAAACATCACACCAGTGACAGATCTAGATACTGTATTAATTATTGTGAAAGAACCCCCCCCCCCCCTTTTGCCGGGGCCTTTTTTTTTTTTTTTTT